ATGAAGGGCCAAATACAATACAATGCCATTGGCAGCCTATGAGTCACGTGACTCCCCGGTCTAGCAGGTCTCTCTATGCTTTTCCTCTTCCTCATAGCCGCTTTTGTGCTCCTATTATGCCATTCTTAAGCTTTATACACATATAGTAGATGAAAATCGTAGAGAAAATTGTCACGAATCCAGGTGTGTTATTATTATAGCATGGGATGGACGGTATTTGCGTAAGTCGCACATTCCAGAGCGTATTGTCTGACTGCTCCATTGACTTGCAGTCAAAATGATGCTGAACGTCTGGGTAATTATAAATCACCATGGCTCCTTCAATTTGTTTAATATCTTGACATAATACAACAGTAGAATAACACAACAGAGTGCTGTATATGTTAAACTTAATGCAGATGTCACATTTGCTCGTCGCCGCGTCTCTCACTCCCTGTCTCTCCCTGCAGACGCTGTCAGCAGAGCACACAGCTGATTATCATCAGCTGTATATTTAAGAGAGGCACAGACACGCTGACAGGGCCAGTTTGCTCCATCCTGTTATGCAGTTTGGCTGCAGAAGAGTTTCATTGTACTGTATATCTCTTCCCTACAACGATCGCCATTCTAACGAGCTCGCGCTTTCCCGCTACATTGTTTTCTATAGCGCTCTCCACTTTGGCATCAGCAGTCATCCAGATTACTTTGCCAATGTAGCGAGGGAGAGATGGGGGAGCCTTACCTGATCACATTTCTTTCTCAGCGTGTGGTCACATAACTCGACCAATGATTAAACAATTTAAGCATCAGCACTCATCCAGATTACTTTGCCAATGTAGTGAGGGAGAGATGGGGCCTTATCTCGTCACATTTCTTTCTCAGCGTGTGGTCACATAACTCGGCCAATGATTAAACAATTTATTCTAGCAATATTTTTGATATTTTTTTCTGCTTCCTGTTTTGTCAATTTTCATTTTACCTTTCACCTTTTTAAGCATTACTTATGAGCCCTCCACTTCTTAAGCCAGGGGTCTGCAAGTTGGCGTGGCCTCTGGGCATTTTTTCCTACGTCATCAGATGGCGGGCCATTACTATATTATGTCAATATATTTTGCAATTTTAGGGTAATATATATACATAAAAATATAAGCATTGTGCTGACTTGTAAAAGTAAATGAATAAACTAATAAAATAATTGCATAAATAAAGAAATATTATTCCCGCCCCCTCATCTGCAATGTTGTTGTCAATTGTAACTATTTGCATAGTTACAATTGGCTCCACATCGGTAGATGAGGCAACGTTTGAAATGGAGTTAATTGATTTCCAAGTATCCTCCCTGGTCAGCACTGCACTACAAGGCGCGGAGTCTGTGTGCGCATTCTGGCTCGCGTGCTCTGAGGATTACAGCACACTCGAAGAAGCTTGCTTTTTATGTGCTTACTATGTTTCCTTCCACCTACAC